TGAAGAAGTGTTTTCTGAAGATTCTTTGAAGAACAAATCTTGTATAGTATTTCTGAAGATCATATTTGTTATACATTGTCAAAAGAGAAGATCACCGTGATTCTACATTCGAGGGGGAGTGCTAGAAGATCTTTCTCAACATTTGATCGTTTGAAGATTACAAGCTGAAGATTTCATTTGTAGTTGACATTTTGTGCATAAAGTTTCAAAGTTCAAACAAGGACTCAACGTGCAGAATTTTCTCTTTCAAGTCTGAATACAAAGGGGGAGAATGTTAGGACTGAAAAATCAGTATTAATTGTATTCGTCTTGAAAGATTAATTTTAGTCTATAATTGTAAAGTCAGCGTGTTTGACTTTCTTAGACTAGTTTGACTTTGACTTTGTTAGTTAGGTTGTAGTTAGGTTGACCATATAAATATGGTTTAATCTTTGTAATTAGAAAGTAGAGTGAGCTAATTGTAATATACATTGATAATAGAAGGTTTGACTGAATTGAGAGGATTGACTTTTCCTCTCAATATTCATATGAGTTCATAGTGTTTTTAGATGATTATCTTGAATCTGCCATGATTGATTATGAAGTTTATGAAGATTGATCAGTGATTGTGGACACACAGATTCCTATTTACCTTTTTCTTTCTTAGAATCAACCACATAAGCCAAGAAGCTTTGACACTCCTTTTGAATACATTTATGGGCTTTCAGAACAGAAATCAGGCTTGTATGATGATCCTGTTGATCACCATAAATCACAATTGACCCTTTCCTCAGTAGATCAATACGTATCATCTTCTTACTACACACGAAACTAGATTCATTGACGGCTACAACTTTTGTTTTTTTTTATTCATCAATTGCGACAATATTTTTATTTTATTTTATTCGTCTTCAACTTCTATTAGTTTTAAACTTTTGTTCTTCTTGTTATTATAATTAAAGCATAACTCCCGAAATGTAATTAGTCTTAAACTTGAAACCATACTAGGAACAAGTTGAACACATAGAGTGATATGAATGGGTTTTGCATATATGGTGGTGCAACACTAAGTAACATGTTCCATTTGGTGGATATGCATCAAAATCGGTTTGGGGGACTGGAGGCGACCTTTTTACCCTTTCTTGGTGGATTTGCATCAAATCGAGGTTTGGAGGGGTGGGGGTCTCGGGAAAGGGGATAACTCGCTTGCGACGGGTTGTATGGGTCATTGATGTGGGTTGTCTTGATCATCGATGTGGTGTTGTGGTAGCCGCTTGTATAACCACAAGTGTGGCGGGAAGGATGGAACCAACAGAAAAGGGGTGTGCCCAGTCGGGGAAGGAACGAGACCAGAGATGTGCTGAGAGGAGGGAGACTAAAGGAGGACGATGATGTGAGGGGATGGAAGAGATCGGAGGAGGACGTTGATGTGCGGATGAGATCGGAGAGAATGGAGGAGCTGGAGGCGGCCAACAAGGATCTATAAGGTTCTGCGTATTTCTGTTTACACGTTTTCGTGTGTGTGTGTGCATATATATAACATTATATAATAAAAGTTATATACTTTTTTTATTTTCTGAAACAAAATGGAATTAATAAATAAAAAGACAAAAATGTCTCTGATTTAACAAGACTAAAGTTAACGGAGTTAAAGGCAGGGATCTAGTCCACAACAAAACTGAAACCACAATGACAATACATGTAATTATCCTGTTTGGGGGACCAGATCCATAATTTTCATATAATGATAGGGGCGAAATTTGTAATTTACCATTTAACATAATTTGCATCTAACATGGTACATTACATTAAATTCGACAAATAAAATTTAAGACAGATAGAAGTAAAAAGCGTTTTTAACTTAAAGTTTGGCATATTTAGTGGCCATGGTCGTATCAAAGACCTTGACAAAAAATCTGGTTCTTGGGATCGATAGTTTTTCTAGTAAAATTGTGCCCAATTGGAATATCAACTTCTTCTTAGTTTCAGAGGTAATTCCTCCCATGGATATTATCTCTGCATATGCAGCTGGTTCTTTGTTCCTCTCAAATGATATGGCAACCGATCCCTTTAATATTACCATCACAAACTGCAAAAAAGAAAACAAAAATCCAACTTTTAATTAATAATGAAAAGAAAAGGTCTACAAAATGCAATATCCTTAGTAAAAGAGTATTCAAAATCTTGACCTTTTCTTTCATGTTGAAAGGCATCTATATATGTTTAGTGCAATGAAATGGGTCAAATTACATGAACCAACTTGATGGATGATATTGCAAAAGGTGGGTCCCTTAATTTAAGAATTTTAAAATGATTCTTCTAATCAAAAGATATGACAAGTCTTGATGCAAAAAATAAATGGCTTATTTTAGATTTTATTAAACTTGGACTATTAAAAGGGTTGAAATGACTTGTGATACTTGATATTTGAACAAGGGATATGGTCATGAAAAGGAATGGACAACAATGATTTTACATATGGGTACAGAAAAACAGCTTTTACATGGCTTAATGGTTTTTACTGACAGTAATAATTACTTACTATATTAAGTCATATGAATAAAAGTTAAAAATGAGAAGGTAATTAATTCTCAGCTTAAGCACTTTTACATGCATCCACTACCACCTAAAAATAGGAATGAGCAGCCCCAAGATGAATTAATGTTCACTTGAATCAAACCAATCATTCCTTACCAATTTGGAGGGGACACCAACTCTGCTATTGGATGCGTTCATCATCATGGTGCAGTTTCAGTTTCATATAATTCAAATTCAATTGGTGATTTTTTATTAAATCCAACTCGTTAAACCAACCGATTAATCTCATGACAACCACCTACTTAAGGGTAGATCGAGGTCATTGTGTTTGAACCTCCGTGATTACAAGGGGATTTTTATTCCTCTTTGGATTTAAACCTGGAACTTCTAGACACTTTTGACCTACCAAGTTCAAACCAATTAAACACCACCTTATGGTTAGAATTATTAATTTTTAGTTTTCTGCTTCAAAAGTATTGTGTTCAAATCATAACAGTTTGAATGTGGGATGACTTGTTCAAGTTAAAAGATTCCCAGATGACTGAAATGATTATTTATTGGTTGAAATTAGTTGCTGATTAATTAATGATGTTTGCTTGTAGTTTTTAATTTGTAATTAAAAGGATATTTTGGTAAGTAGTGTTTTAAATGTTTGTAGTTTTGTTAGGCCAAGTAGAGCGTTGTGACATGTTCCTTTGTTTCAATAAAAAAATGTCATAAGGACCTTTGTAACATGAAATAATCATAACAAGCAGTTCATGAAATCAACAGATGCAATCAACAAATCTCCAGGTCTTCAAAGGAAGATGTTGCATTTTCCATTTGATAGAACGGATCTCAGTATGTGAGTTCTTCGGTTCAATTCTATGTATATAGTAGTTCATAATTCTCCTAAATTAAGAAACCGTATTGAAACGAGCTGTGCCTCCAAATTTCCAGGAAATCGAACAGCAAAGCAAATATTCGAAGGAAAACAAAAAAAGGAGAGATGAAGATGTTGATAGAGATAGAGATCGAGATCGAGAGAGGGAAGAGATGATTTACTTTCTCAGGTCGGCCAATGATTTCCGCAACAGCTTTGGTGGCTTCGGAGAAGATGGAATCGGTGTCAACACCGTCGAGGCAAACGTTGGTGGAGATCTGGACACAAGGCATCTTGGCAGTTTATGGCTTCTGATTTGAGTTTTGTAGAAACCTTTCAGCCATGGAATTGGGGAGGGTTTTGCTTCTATTTATAGATTAGATGGATGATGATGATGATGGGATGTAGGTGGGTAAGGACCAATAAACCTTTTACACTGGATTTCTGCATTTTGGGTTCCCCATTTACATTTAAATTTAAACAAGAGGATTGTTTCTTAATATTAAAATATTTTTAGAGATGTATTTAATAATACTAGAAGCGTACTCGCGCAATACAGCGAGATACATCGTAATTTTAATATTTTATTTTATTCTTTATCTCAGTCGAAGTTATAATATGGCTTTATATGATTTTGAGAAAACGATGATGTTTTTATTTTTGAATAAAATATATGTTTGAAGATATCATAAAAATTTGACAAAAATATATCGACATTAGTATCAAATTAACTATTTGAAATTTCTCATTTTTTTGTGTAATTTTTTAATTCAATTTCTTTATAATTTAATTTATGTACAATAACGAATTAATTTATATTTAGTTTAATAATATAATTTTTATAAAGATAATAATTATTTATTTTGTTGGAACTCGACAATTATTTTAATTATATTATAGATTTTTTTTATTTTAAAATGAGATGTTCATCCTCTATTTGATTATGTTTATCCGCAGTTATTTATACGAATTCAAACATCGAACTTTAATAAGTTGTACTTATGCA